CGCGGCGCTGGGCGGGGTACACCGGGCGCGCGGCGCATGGATCGCCGGCCCCGGGCATGCAGCTATGGGGCCCCCGGGCATGCGGCTATGGGGGGGCTGCCCCCGGGGCGCAAGTGTCCCCCCCCCGCTCCCTGGCGCCCGACAACCTTGAAAGGTTGGGAACCACTGTTGTAAGGTGTCTTTTTAAAACGTGTAATTGGATGTTCAACAGTTTCATGACGAAATGCCTATAGCAGCATTATATGTGACCTTACTAGCATAAGTTTCAACTGTGACTATAAAAGCATATTTTTTCAGATAAATTTGGGAACGGCCAAACCAGTTCATCAAAGAAAGAGTAAGCTGATGCCTCAACCAGGGCTATGTCTACACTACATTTTTTTTCTTTCAAAAGAAGATATGCAAATTAGCTAAATTAAAACGTAGTCTAGACGTGCCCCAGGTGTAAACAAGGCTGATGGACATTACCTGCTAAATGATCACTCTTTGGCAGGAAAGGGAGCAGGGGGATCAAAATTTATATCTTAGCAAAGAAACAACATGCAGTTTTCTTCCTCACAAACTGATTGTTGCCTTGCTTCCAGCAGGAAATGTTTCTCACTGGGAGCAGAAATTTCTCTCCCCCTTCTTGTCACATTCTCTGCATCTGACAAAACAAAGGAAGCAGCCACTGGACTCTGGGAAAAGGCTCTTCACATAAAGAATTTGGTCAGTAAGACTAGTTAAAGCATGTAGTGAGAAATCTGTGCTTTGAATATAATCTAGTTCATTAGGAACCAATGGTTGTATTTTATTTGTCTTGTAACTATTTCTAGCTTTTATGGCTCATTACTCACTCCCTTAAAACCCATCTCCGTAGTTAAATAAAACAATAAAACGTATATTAATCCAGTATGGTGTTAGTTGAGATGTTTGGATAACAATTTAAAATAATAAACTTGGGTATAGGAGGCCCCCACTTTGCGACAGCCCGATTTACAACCCCTGCACTTATGACCTTTTCCATAATTTGAAACACAAGTGGTGTTCTTGTCCATCCTTCTTGTTGAAGGAAAAGGTCCAGGTAGGGATCGTCCAATTGAGGAAGTAAATGAGTGGTTGCGCAGGTGGTGTTGGAGCGAGGCTTTGGTTTCTTCGACCATGGGACTCTGTTCTGGGCACAAGGATTGTTAGGAAGAGATGGGATCCACCTAACCAAAAGAGGAAAGAGCATCTTCGCAGGCAGGCTTGCAAACCTAGTGAGGAGGGCTTTAAACTAGGTTCGTTGGGGGACAGTGACAAAAGCCCTGAGGTAAGTGGGGAAGTCGGATACCGGGAAGAAACACAAGGAGGAACAAACAACAAAGGAGGACCCCTGATTCAAATGAAGAAGGTAGGGCAATCACCTGATTATCTAAGGTATTTGTACACGAATATAGGAAGCTTGGGAAACAAACAGGAAGAATTAGAAGCCCTGGCCCAGTCAAAGAACTATGATTTGATTGGAATAACAGAGACTTGGTGGGATGACTCGCATGACTGGAACACTGTCATGGAAGGATATAAAGTGTTCAGGAAGAACAGGCCAGGGAGAGAAGGAGGAGTTGCATTGTATATAAGGGTATGGTCTACACTACAGTGTTATTTCGAAATATCTTATTTCAAAATAGTTATTTCCAGGGCTCGCTGAGCAGCGGCGTGCCCCGCTTGCCAGCTGCGCGGTTCGGCACACTGCGCATGCGCAGACCATGCTGCGCGGCTGGGCCGGCTTGTAATCTACTCGCCACGGGCAAGTAGATTACACTAATTGTCGAGCCCTGGTCATTTCGAAATAGCTTATGTCGAAATAACACATCTAGACACAAAATGCAATTCAAAATAGCATTTTGCCATTTTGAAATAGCGCGTCCACACTGATAGGATGCTGAATCACATTTAAGGCCGGCCAGAACTGGTTCTGGCAGGGCGACAGGTCAGGAGTTACCTTGTGTGGCTGCTGCCTGAGGCTATCTGAGACCTGTGGTTAAAGGGACCCCCCTTTCCCCCGGACAGCCAGTTCTAAGGTTTCCCTGCTTGCTTGCCTACCTCACTGAGGGACAGCAATGCATTTTTTTTTCTGCATGCTCTGGTTGCCCTCACTCAGGACACCACAGCACTCTGCAGCATGGAGCTGGAGCTGACCCTGGGCACTCTGGTGCTTCCCCTGGATGTGTTGCTGCAAGTCTGGCAGCACGTTCTGCAGGCAGTAACAGTCTCCCTGGTGTGCCCCACTGGGGGCTTGTGCCTTATTCCTCCCTCACGTCCTTCCACTTGCCTCTCCCTAACCCCCCTTCCTGCTGTACAATAAAAGACGTGTTCATTACAACAAAGACTTTTTATTGAACAAATCTGGGACGGGGGGAAATGAAACTGAGGTGAGACTAGGGAAAGTAGGTGGCAGAGGAGAAGAGGGAGGGT